TCACTTGGAAGGAGATGGAAGTCTGAATGAGCTTTCCATCTCCAGAGTAAATAACCGTTAAGTTTCAGGACAACACAGGATTTTCATCACAAGCAGCAAAGCAAAAGTGTTTACTGCAGTGGTTCAAAACATGGTCTAAGAACCTCTGTAGGGTCACTGAGAGAATCTAGTAGTAATCAGTAGTAATTAATGGATCAAAATGGTAATTCAGCATGTCGTAGCCCATTAACTTCAGATAACATACTTTATAAAAGTGCTAACCATTCTCCACAGTACGCTGTCAGATTTTAATTTATTTTTTTACTTCTAAGGCTGCTATTTGTTTCCATTCATTTCCATATGGCTTGAAAATAAATTGCAGACTCTTGAAACTTGCTTGAGCAGTGTAATCCATCACAGTGAATGTCAAGTCTGCATTAATTTTTCACATTATCTTGAGGTAATGCAGCAAAGACTTTTCAAATCAGCCTGCGTCAAAGAAAAATTCATGTACATTTCAACTCAGTGTATTTACCATATACTGTAAGTGGCTATTGTGACTCCTTGAGTCATGCTAACTTTGCACTCACTGGGAGCACATGTATGTTTCTAGGGTCCACTGTTACCCAATTCAGTATCTTCTTAATCATATCATTAAGGAGATACTTTAAAAGGTTTTTATGTTTCCAGCAATGTTCTTCCAAAGTCAGATGTTCAGTGTATGTTTCCCTGGGTCAATATGTTGAAATTATCCACCTACAACTTACAGCCGACATATGTTATACTCCTTGAAACCTATGCCATCAAATTTGTGGGCAAGACAGTTTTCTTGACTTTAGACATTGATATCACCACTACAGCTGAATGTATTTTTACCATTCAAACTGAGTTTACAACATCTGTAACCCTTCCTTCTTTTGCTATTTGCAAAGCTAGTCCTTACCAATCACTTACAATGTTAGTTTTTAGTAAGAGACATAGGACCCTGGGAACATACAGTGTTTCCTACTCACCACCTCCATTGTAGAGACTTGGAAAAACAAGTAATCTTGCAAAAATACTTATGTCGGAGCAAGCTGATTAGTCTCCTACAGCTTTCCAAATTAACAGCTTTTTTTACATGAATCTTTAAAATGGTTGCTTCTGAGTCTGACCGAAAGTTAACATAGAAAGTAGCACCCTGGAATAGCTGTGTTGGCTAATCTCTCAGTTAACGTTTCTATTGTAATTTATGATCTTAATGGGTCAAGGAAAACATATAACCAGGTGCTGATATTTATTGTTGGTGGTTCACACATATTTCATTTCTCATATAAAATAGTGGTTTACAGGGTGTTGTTGTTTTAGGCAGGTAAAACAGTCTCCTGGACAACAGTGTTGATCAGAGCCACAAATTAATTTGTTGTAACTTAGTTATACAGATAGGATCACTACAATTATTCATGTAAAAACAAGTAAGGTAATAAGTAAGTATGTAAAACGTATTCATATTGTGCTTTTTACAGACAAAGGTCATAAAGTGCTTTACAAGATCAATATACAATATACAAGAAAACACAGAAGACAAAACATAGCAGATAAAGTGACTACCTATACCACATAGTTAAAAGTTTCAAACTGTTTGCATAATACATAATCAAAATCACAGTACACAACAATAATACACAAAATATAAAGAAAATACAGAGCTAGTGCACACAAGTCCTTCAAATGCCTGTCTAAACAGGTGCGTCTTTAGTTGGGTTTTAAAAGAAACCACAAAGTCAGCAGACTATAAGTGTGCGGGCAGAGCAGAATTTAGGTGCTACAGCCTCAAAAGCACAATCACCATGGGTCTTAAGGTGAGAGCAAGGAACAGACAGCAAATTTTACAAACCTGACCTGAGAGAGCAAGCTGAGTAATATGGGTGAAGTAGTTCAGCCACATAAGCAGGAGCCTGACCGTGTAATGCTCTGTAAATAAGAATGAAAATTTTAGACTGGATCCTATATGTGACAGAGAACCAGTGAAGAGATTTTAGTATAGGTGTAATATGAGATTGTCTGTTTGACCCTAGTAAGAAGTCTTGCGGCAGCATTCTGGATTGCTTGCAGATGATTAAGAGCAGAAACACTAAGTGAGGAGAAAAGTGCTTTCCAGTAGTCAATGTGAGATGAGATAAAGGCATGCATACACATCTCTAGTTCAGCAGTTGAAACTACAGATCTCAGTTTTCTCATATTTCTGGAATGTAAAAAACAAGATTTGGACAGGTGCTTCTCATGGGTGTCAACTGACAAGGATTTAAAAAATATTACCTCTAAATTATGCAGGTTTGAGTGAGCAGCAGAGGAAAGAGGCCTGATACTTTGCATCATTGGGGGGACAGCTTTTTCTGGAGCAACAACCAGAACCTCTATCTTGTCAGTATTGAGCTGTAGAAAGTTTTCTGCCACCCAGACCCTAATTAATAGCACTAAGGCAGTCAAGGAGCCTAGATAACCTAAAAGGCGCAGAGGGGTTGAGGAAGTGATGTAGCTGAATATCATCGACATATAAATGATATACAATATCATATCTGTTTATTATTTGGCCCAAGGGCAGCAAATATAAACAGAGGCCCCAGAACCAAGCCCTGTGGGACACCACATGACAGTGGGGAGGAATCAGATAGAAAGTCTCCAATAGAGACTAAAAACTCCTGCCAGAGAGGTATGATGAAAACAGGTCTAATGCTATGCCTGATATGTCTACACAATCAAATAACCTTTTCATAAGGATATGATGGTCTACTGTGTCAAACACAAAGCTGAGGTCAAGAAGTACTAGCACAGAACAGTTACCTGCATCAGAGGATATTAAAATATAATTTGAAACTCTCAGAGGAGCAGTTTTAATAGAGTGCTGTTTCCAAAACTCTGACTGAAACATATCGTAAATATTGTGTCTCTCCAACACAGCAGAGAGTTGATTGGCCACAACCTCTAAAATTTTTGACAATAGTGGTAGTTTAGAGATAGGCCTATAGTTATTTGGCAGAGCAGAGTCAAAGTTATTTTTCTTCAATATAGGATGAATGGTAGCATGCTTAAAAAAGGAAGGGACACATCCTGTAGACATAGAGGAATTAACAATAGCTAGCACAGTGGGGCCAATAGTTGACAATGGTTTTACATCCACAGGGCTAGAAGATAGCTTCATTTTCCTAATCAAATCCATCAGATCTTGCAAACTGATAGATTGAAAGGAACCCCGGACAGTGGAGGATATAGAGGGGCTACAGTTGTGTGCAAGTCTCAGGATGCATCCTGGACCTAACAGTCATTACCTTATCAACAAAGAAAGTAAGGAACTTGTTACAATCATTGATACAGAAACATGGTAATGTGGAGGGCAGCAGTGAAATAATGTTATTATACGTCTCAAAAAAATACCCTTGGGATTTCTGAGATGAAATGAAGTTAGCAAAATAACCAGTCCGGGCTTCCTTTACTAATACATTACAGGGCACAGAGATTTTTAAGATAAAGGTGGAGGACTTCTAGCCCAGTGGCTCTTCATAGCTGTTCAGACCTGTAACACTTCTGTCTCAGGCAACAGAGAGTGTCTGTCATCCAAAAAGAAGTGTTGCAGATAGCCCTGGTCCTTATCTTTAATGGTGCCACTTTGTCCAGCAAGGTAAAGCAATGCTCATTAAAAACTCTACATTGTTAAAATTTGCATTGATGTCACAGCAAAACTGCACTGAGGACTGATCAGCCGTACTCTGTGTAATAACTCAGGAACACAATGTTGATTGAGGACGCAATGGTTCAGTGATTGCAGAGAGGTCAAAGAAAATACACTTAAGATCACTGATTAATAGGTCCTCACAGCATTTATCAATATCTAGGCCCAGAAAAAAAGACAAAGTCAAAGCTATAACTATACAAGTCAGTGGCACCCAGAAAATGTTTGACATTAAAAGATTCTGTAATTTTAAGAAATTCAGTAGCAAACAATTTGTGGCCTTACTGATGCATAGGTTAAATCACCAACTAATAACACTTTTCCCAGCTTAATAATAGAAGTCAGAAAATCAGAAAACTCTGATAAAAACTGACCACCTGAACCAGACAGTTTGCTGTCTCTGTCAAGTAGTTGTCCTTTAGTCACTCACTCTACAGCAGGAAACAGCACTTAAAATAAAAACTCTGTGACAAAAATTCCCTGTACTTCAAAATAATCACGTTTTTTTACAAACTTGACATGAGTCACTTGCAGTCCATTCAGAATGGATCCATGACCCACTCTTGGACTGTGACCCACCAGTTGGGAACCACTGATGTAGAGGGCTTTGAGTCAGTCTTGCATATTGTGCAGTTTTTCAGTTGAAATAGTAAAGTATTGCACAGAGCAAGAGCAACTGCAACAGGCTGCATGCACAGTCGGCGCATGCATTGAACACTGAAGGCTTCTGAGCATTTTCTTTTTCTTAATCCATACAGTAATAGTTAAAATGCACAAGTTCTGCCTGATCACCAGAGATCAGTATATTTCTAACTTGTAGATGCTAACTCGGAGCAATTCTCTTGTGAAAACTTAAAAAAATGTACCTTGAAGTATAACCCAACATTGTGTTGTGCCCACAGATCAGACATATCATATACACTATTGGAGATCTGCCAGCCCACCTGCTCAGTAACGGAGTGCACACTAAATTGTACTTCCGTGGAGGATACAGAGGACTTCGGAGATTTGTGGTAACATTATTTGGCATCATCTGGTTGTATTTATAACTGTCTACATTTCTGTCTTTGCTTTTCACTGGAACAAATCAGCTGACTCAAACATTTCTTCCCTTCAGTCTACATTTGAAATAGGTAAAGTTGATTGTGTTCCCCGCACAATCTCAGGCCTGGACGTTTTTCTGCAGGTAGGACGTTTCTTTTGGAGAGCATGTTATATACATTTATATAACAAGTTCAGTTTTTCTGACCATTTTGTTTTATTCGGATCCTCCACAAGGCATTTTATGACCTCCCAGAGGAAGATGCTGGCGCAGATCAATGTGACCAGGCAAACTTTGTGGACCTACTTAAGAAGATGCTGACAGTGGACTCTTGTGAAAGAATCACACCGAGTGAGATCCTCCAGCATCCTTTCATAACGATGAGCCACCTTGTTGTCACATTCGACAACAGCCCACAGTAAGTGTGAGCTTAGATGCTGTGAGCATTTTAACAGTGCTTATATAGATAGGTGAAGTTGACTGAGATGCTTGTCTTCCAGTGTGAAATCTTCTGTGGAGCTAATAAAAAATTGTGACGTGCTGAGCTCTGATGACAGTGAGGAGACTACCTCCATCAGCCCGGCCTTCCAACCCAATGAGGGTCACGCTGCTGGGCTGAGCAAGGAGGAGCAACTCGGCAAGCAGAGCATCAGTGAGAACAGTCCAGCAAAGAAAAGGAAAGGGACTGTTCTGAAGATTTGGAGTCTGGCAACAGGTAGGTGTTTGAAAAATCTTGTTGTGTTACTTATTTCATATTTTGAGGAAAACTGTACTGTACTATTATTTGCTGTCTTGCTGAGAGTTCATGTGTATAATACTAATATATACTAATTTTTTCTTTTCGACATAGGAGCCCTATTGTCACCAAGAAAAGGAGGAGTCAATGCCATGACGCAGCAGACAGAGTTCGGCAAACACGCCCATTGCTGCGCAAAAGACAGAGGGATAAATCAGGTCAACGCTCAACCTCTGATGGCAACTCCCAGAAAACAAAAAAGAGGCATATAAACCTCAATAAAGAACTGATGGACAGTGTCACAGGTAAGATCACCTATGGAAACACACACATGCAGACAATGATTGCACCATTCCCAGAATTGATCATAATTATTATTGGTTAAGAAAAGGTGTATTTCTTGTATGCTGAACCCCCATTTTAAAACTTTTTTTTAAATTTTTGTAGAACTTCTAAGCGACACACGGGAGGCCCCGTCCAGCTCAACACAGGTCCAATCCCGGAAGAGAAAGAGGGCCGATGAAGAGGCTTCAAACCCAGAAGAGGAGATATACCTCCTCTCCAGACAGGAGGAGGAGGAGGAGGTCTGTGTGAAGGAAACACCAGACTGATGAAGTCATCTCCCTCCAGTCAGACTCAGCTCTGACAAACCCAAATTGAAGACTGAGAATTAACTCTCATCTTCACTTTTTTTCTTTAGCATATCTTTTATTTTTTATTTTATTTAGTTTTATTTAAAATGTATTTTATTTCAATTTCCATTTTATTTCAACTTGTGATGTTACCACAGGTCATTCAAACATCAGACACCCTTGCTCAGGCAACCCAGCTGAGGCTGATCAGGCCTCAACTTGTGCCCTAGCAGCACTCCACCACAGATCTGCCCTCTTTATCGAGAGCCACCTAGAGGCTTTCTCTGCCGCCTCCGTGCTGATGTAGACGGCCCCTCTCCTCCTCTCACCTGTGATGCCGAGTGCAGTGTATGCTTTGCAGAGAGACTGTCCTGCAAAGCCTCTGCACCTTACCTCCACAGGCAGCCACCTTGTCTTCCTTGTCTTCCAGCCTTGTCTGTGGCTGTCCCTGACTAGGCTGTCGTGTTTCTCTCTCTTCCACTCAAAGGCCTCCTCCATCCGCTCTTCCCATGGCACAGTAAGCTCCAGCATGACAATGTTCTTTGTTGCCTCTGATACCAGGACGATGTCAATATGTGCTCAAGGGTCCCCTTTCTCTGGCAAAGGGGGCATGCTGGTGTATCGACCAAGCCCCAGCAGTGCAGGTTGCAGCCTCTGCTTTCCACTTACTGCCAGTCTTGACTGCTAACCCTGCCCCGGACACTTTGGGGTCTGTTGACTCACGGATCTGCAGCACCTCCCTCGCGCGCAATGCTTTGAACTCCTCCTCAATGGATTTCAAGGGGAGTGTCAGTTTGCAGGTGTTTCCATAAAGGGCGATGTTGCTCAAGCTCCTCTACAGTCCTAACCATCTCCTCAGGTAGTGGCTGACTCTCCTCTCCAGATCTGAAATGGTGGTGATCTGGAACTCATAGAGGAGCAGTGGCCACAGTATCCTTGGCAGAATCCCATGTTGGTAAAGCCACGTCTTGAATTTTCCTGGAAGGCCAGAATTGTCGACATTATTCAGCCATCCCTCCAGCTCCTCACAGGTGTTCTTAATGGAGGCTGTATCCCTGAGGCTGCTGTTGAAGAACTTCCCCAAGCTCTTTATCGGCTTCTCAGATATGGAAGGGATTGGCGGTCCTGCGCTAGAGAAGTGGAACTGGTCTGCTACTCTGCCCTTTTTCAAGACCAGGGATCTCGATTTTGTTGGCTTGAATGACATCCTGGCCCATCCCATCAGCCTCTCCAGCCCCTCAGGATCCATCTGCCTCCAGGCACTGACTCGGTGGCCACTGTCAGGTCATCCATGAAGGCGCGGATTGGTGGTTGGCGGATCCCAGACTTTGACTTAGGTCCTCTGCATTCTGGTTTGGCAGATTTTACCAACATGTTCATCGCCAGAGCAAACAGGATCACTGACATGGTGCAGTCAGTGATGACTCCCACCTCCAATCTGTGACCACACCTGTATGCTGTAGACACCCTGGTACCCCAGGGATGCCGCCTTTCTGCACTGAAGTGTCGATGTATCCATTCTTGAGGAAGAACTCAGCCAGTCACTTAGCTACAATGCTGAGGAAAATCTTCCCTTCAGCACTGAGCAACAGGATGATTCAGAACTGGCTGATATTCTTGGAGTCCTCCTCTTTAGGAATCCACACTCCTGCAAATCGTCACTGCTGCGCTGTTTTCCCCTTCTCCAGATGACCTTCAAGATCTTCCAAAGCCGGTGTAGCAGCTTAGCACAGTGCTTGTAGACCTTGTAGGGTGTTCTGCTTGGTCCTGGTGCTGACCTGGACCATGCTTTTCACACCACCTCCTGAACTTATTTCAGGAGTGGCTCCCTCAGATCGAAGGCCTCAGCAGGCTCTGGTGGTGTTATTACTGCCTTACACTGCCCTAGCTCTTGGTCTCGGGTGGGGTCGCTGAAGGTGTCGTGGAGATGTTGGTCAACTTCCTCTTTTGAACAAGCTAGGCGTCCACTGTCTCTCTGACAAAACCAAAGGGGTTGTTGAACTTAACTTTAAATTTTAATTTATTATATTCTATAGAATTTTGATTTTCACTTTATAAAAACTGAGCAAATATATGAAGTGAAGATTTGTTTTTGAATAAACAGTAGTTATGTATAGGGGTGGGTAGGTGGGTGGGGTGGGAGGTAGGGTAGGTATACAATATGCATATGATGTGTATCTATATGTGAATATGTGTATTTGTTGTGTGTTAATTGTTGTGCAATTCTCTATGTATATGTATCTGTCCCTATCAAATAAACATGAAAATGAAAATGAAATAACATGGTTAAATTTGGAGTAAGACTTCTTTGTAAACTCATTACCTGGGCACCCAATCTTCTGCCTAAACATTGTGTGTGGGGAGCCACTGCTCCACACTAGGGCTGGGCCATATGGACAAAAATTCATATCCCGGTATTTTCAGGCCGAATGGCGATACATGATATGCCCGGATTTTCTACGAAGTGGGCTACATGAAGAGAAGAGAACTTCTTCCACCGCTGCAAAACTCAAACAGTGCATCTTCCAGTTACCTTTAGTGACAATCAAGGCCAACTACTATGCCAACTTAAACTGATATTGCTCCAGATGAAAACAGTCAACATCTAAAACGTTAAACCCTGTTCAATCAGCAGACTACACATACCTATTCAAACACATGGAAAGAAAGACACACACACAATGTCCTTTCATTACATCAATAACTCCTCAGCTGTCTAACTCTGGATCAGCTACCCTGTTGGGCAAGGGCAGAAATCCCATTTCATTGTTGGGGGAAACAATAAACCAAGAGCATTTTTTTGGGGGGGGGGCAACAAAGTTGCAGTTAAATTCACTGTTGTAACAGTGATGACTAAAGTGGCTAAAGAGCTTAACGAAAGGCAGGTTTATTCTTTGTCACAGAACCTTTCAAAAACAGCTGCAAATTAAAGTTTCACCACAAAGAAACGTATGAGAATATTTGAAAACACAGTATAAATTTATCAGTCAAAATGATGACTTATGCCCATAAATTAAAGGGCCAATAACAGTCCTGTTTCTTAGTGTCAGCAAAGTGTGGTCCATGCACTTAGTGAAAAAATGAAAGGGTAGAGAAAGAGAGACAGAGTACTGATGGAGAGTGAGAAACTCCAGAGGGAAAAAACAAACATTGTTTGACATGATACACAGGTTATTGTATTGTTGTCAAGAATTTCCAAAAAAAAAAAGCATCAAAGAAATGGGTTGGATTTGCATCAGCTTCAAACAGTCCCGGCGCCAGCTCAGTACAGAAGGGGGGGGGCGGCTGAAAACCGAGGGGGGGGCGATGACGTGATGCATAGTATTAGAAAACGTATGCAGCCCAACTGTCTTATCTAAGCCACATAGATACACCAATTCATAAGTTTTACCGTGATAAGAAACAAGTTACAATAACACACTGCCACCAAGTAACTATACCTGCTTTACTAACACAACGTTCATTGTAACCCGACCAGTAAGAAACAGATGAAATCCCGAATAATCGCACTAGCCAATCAGAAGCAAGAAACAAGCCAGGTAACCCAGAGCAACATAAAATCAGACTCCACAGATCAGATGGCGCTGATCTAACATGTCCAACAACATATGATCAATAACCACATTGCTAACAAACACAAACAGTAGCAACAATACAAATGATAAAATAACCAGCTCTTACCTTCAGTAGAGTTGCAGTCTCCTCTTTCCTGACAAGTGGAACCTCTTTAACAGCATCTCCTTCGATTCATCTTTGAATTTCCGACTGAGGTCATTCTCAAATGCCAGCTGGATGAGATGGGCCTTCCGTTTATGCAACATGCTGCGTCTGTGCTCAGTAAATACGTTCTTTAACGTGGAGAATGAGTTTTCACACATAGCAGTTGATGCCCCGAATGTTAGTGCGTGTTTGAATACAGTCATTACCGCTGGCATGGCACTGAATACCCTGGACTCCTTTGCAACAAGTTGACTCAAAGTCACTTTCTCTTTGTCCTGGCCCGTGCACCTGTTTTTCAGAAACTGTTGTGCAACTGTGAACTGTGCCTCAACCATGTCTGTGTTTGTTAAATCCAGTAGTGGTTTCACTTTGTCGGCCTCCAGGAAATTCTCACTGACGGGGTCCAAAGCGTTCAAAGCTGCCATGTATTTCCCATTATGCTTGCTGAAACGCGCAGCCATTTCACTGAGAATAGAGTCGATGATGCCGAAAAACAGCCGCTTCTTGCTGAATGTCCACTTCGTGCTGCCCAAGGCTTTCACTCACCACGTAGTCTTGTAGAGTCCTGGTGGCCTGCCGCTGTCGTTTTGGAGGAGCAGGCGCACCATCACCTGCATCCCCACTGTCAGCCCACAGTTTCAGAAATTCCGCATCTGATCGTAGATCCTCTATGCAAGAGGAGGCACTTTGAACCGGACTGCGGTAATTAGATCTGTTTCTTCAGCTTGCAGCATCCAATTGGCTGGGTCCATCAGCCCCAATACTTTGTGCATCACACAGGCGAGAAATTTGAAGCTCCGTTCTATGATGGCCTTGTGAAGTCCAACAGCTTCAATTTTCACATCAGCACTTGCTCCTGTGGTTCCAATTTCTTTCAGGAAGTCCACCAGTGCGGTGTGTGACTTCAGCACCACAGACACCGTGTCAAGGTGTCCAGTCCATCGCTGCTCTCACAGTCTTTTAAGTTTCTCTCCTTTGTACTGTGCCGCTACAGTGGGTTTTTTTCAGAAATTTATAAAGGGAATTGCACACATCAAAAAAATCCCCAACTTCACTCTCTGAGGAAATAGCATGTACGATCACCAAATGCAATTGGTGGTTGAAACAATGAATGTAAGGCACTTCTCTGTTTAACTTAT